ATGCAGACAAAAGGAGTGCGAAGAAATGTCTGCAAAAATGTGATTTTTGTGGCGAGAATTGTTCTCGTTTTAATAAGAAATCTGTTCTAATAGAATTAAAAAGCCCTTAGACTATACATAGAATTGTAGTAAATGTACGTATTATTTAGGATCTAAATAGCTTTAGTATAAACATACTAATGGTCTATCACTCATACTGCGCTGTGATTGGCTACTCTACTAATGGTCTAATTTGTGATAGACCACTCGCGGGAAAATCAAAATAAATAAATTATAAATTGTAAATTATTTTAAGGATATTTCAATTTTTTTTCATTATTTGACCGATTAGTATGTTTATACTAAAACAATTAGACCTCTCGGCCTCGTGGACTACGAGCTAATAGCCCATTCGGCCTCGCGGACTCGGCCTCATGGGCTATTAGCTCGTAGTCCACTCGACCTCGAGGTGTAATTGTTAATTATAAAAAGGGGAAAACTAATTTACAAAACGATGCCCGAGTGCGAAAAATGTCACAAAAAGTCAATCAAAAACTCTTTTAGCAAAATGATGTTCAAATTAAGTTGATATTATATTGTGAACTCTTCATTGTGTAAGGAGTTGAAAAATGATTGTTCTTTGAAAGAAAAAGCGAGGAATAAACAAACTAGCGAATAGGTCTAGGTACAGAGGTAATAACGATAAGCTAACAATAAACAAGATAAGTTAAGTTATGAAAAGCCACAAACAAGGAAAGTCATCAAAGAAAAATCGATAACTAACTTGAATTTCAAAACAAACCCCGCCTACCTGAAAATTTACAGCTTTTCTATCTCACGTTAACAGTAGAAAATTACTTTACCTCTGGCTTTGTTTAAGTGCGGCTCTATTTGATTGTAAAAGTAAGCTACTTTACACTACTTTTCTTAGCACGCTGTTTTACATTTTTCTTCGTCTTTGTCTGAACTTTTCCCTTGTTTTCGCAGACTATATTGCTCTTGAACTTCCTTCGCTACATTGCTCATATAGTAAAGTATGTTTTTTATCGAATTCAAAATTGGTTGTTCAGCAAAAGGTGTAAAATTCTCGTAAATGCGAACTTCAATTCGTTCGCCTCCATCGACTACATAATTTTTTCCTTTCTTGTCCGCTCTTGAAGTAGATCAACAACGACCAATCAGGTGCCGTGTAATATGTGCGCGCGTTGTGATTGGTTGTCTAAAAATAGATTATCGGGACATCTGATGGTGTTGATATTATTGGGGAGATGGACACTTCTGGTTATGTACTTCTGTCAATGTATATGCACGTTAAAAGTTACACTTGAGGTAACCTGGTCCACGAAGTGGTTCTCGTTTCAATCCTACATTGAGCCTAATCAAAGTTAAAAATTAATAACGGTCGTTCAATCGACTAACCCATCAGTTCATCTTTGTCTGACAATAAGGTTGGGCTGCCTGTTATTTACTTACGCTCAGTTTGGCAGTGGTCTCCTATAAACCCGTCTTTGCACCTGCAAGAGTATCCTCCTCCTATTGTTAAAACACACGTTCCAGAATTCTGACATGGGTTACTATTGCAAGACGGATTGTTGGTGACTATAAGAAAAGAAAATATAGTATCACTTGGATTATTTTATGCCATGTTTTTTGCCTGAAAACACGCAAGGCATCAATAGTTGTTAGTATTTATTTATTTGAATTGACAACAAAAAATTATGTCAAGGAACTAAGACCCTTTTGATGTACTGTGAGTCTGAAGCGCGCCAAACCAAACTTTCGACAAAAATGTGGATGTAATAAATATCGCCATATTTAGTTTTAATCTTCATAGCAACTCATGAAGTATTCAACTTACTTGGGTTATTGCTGGTACAGAACTTTCTCTTGGTAGAGCAATCTAATGATTCAAACTTATAATAGTATTCTGATGAGCACTGTTTTATCTTTGCTGAAATGCTAGTTATACAACAGTTATACACTGCATTGTATTGATAATTTCCGAAACATATCTTAACATCAGTTTCTTGTTCATCAGCACTAGGATGACTMCCATTAACCCAGCCGCTTTCACTTGCACCACAGCGATTCGTTCCAACACACGTAGTAGCGAGATGATAGCTTTGACCTGAAGCATCCTGAAATCTGTACCATTTCGCCGTGCCTAAGGCCGAATCACATTSCGGAGATTYTGCAKTTGTTTCTAATGTTTCAAGTCTCTGGATGGCGTCAGAGAGAGTGTCTTTATTGCCAGRCGGTATACACTGACTTGACATRGTGAATCCAATGCATGTCAATAGCATAAAGGACAACTCTGGAAAGTGCTAGATAAAGATAAAGGTTAATGAATGTCTTTATGGGAGGGATCGACGGAAACCGAACGGATTTATGAAAATACTAACTTTTCAACTAAGTAAACTAAGAAATACACTTTAATACGGCTGACATCATAGACTTTTCAAAACACCGCCTTTTCCATAGCCCGTTTTCTTCCAATGTGTTTCTCATTGCCCGAGAGGTGCACAGAGAATACGAGCAGAGTCCAATGATTTATTGCTCGAATGATA